GATGTAGTATTAAGTTCTCGGTACTGTCAGAGCCTTGTAGAATTATGTGCAACTTCAGGCCCATTTCAAACCATCCTGAGGTCAGCAGGTGGTGTGGTGGTAAAGGCACTGAATCCCACATAGCTGGCTCTGCAGTTCGGGTCCTGGATTCAGAAGCTTGAAAAACACACTGGGCACGTGTGCATGCATGTCCAAAATCCCAGGAGATGAGAAGCGGTGGCATTGTGACCATCCCTCCTAGAGGATAATTTCTCACTTTCTGTCTCTCTCTGGTGAGCACACTCACCCTATGGCAAAAATCTTTTTTTTAAGTGAATTATTTATTTAATTTTTATTTATATTATTATTTTTTAATTTGTTATGGGAGGGACCAGCAGGTGGCGTGGTGGTTAAGGCACTGGACACTCCCACGTGGCTGACCATGGTTCGAGTCCATCTGCCTGCCATCTCGGGCTGGATAGCGTACTGAGTCCTGGCCCTAGCCGGCCCTTACCCGCCCCCCCACAGCCTGGCTACCCCGGGCCACCGCTGCCTGGAGCAGTCCAGGGGACAGGCTGTATGTGGACAGTCAGTGCGAGCTGCTGTCCGCCAGGCCCCGAGCTGGGCATTTAGTGTACGTTAGCTCATCTGGTGTGAGGCGAAGGCAAGGAAATTGAGGCCCTTTCCTCTGGGGCTCCCACGCCACAGCCGTGGCCCAGCTCGGCTGCTCAGCCTCACCCTCCTGCTGTGCTAACTCAGTGCCTCATGCGAGGACAGAGGGGACTCCTGTAAGGAAAACAGCCTGCCACGTTGTCCCCACCTCAGGCCACAGGGAGGGGGAGGGGTGCTTGCCGGGGACAAGCAGGCGGGCTCTGACTTCAGACTCCATTGGAACCACCTCGTGGAACATCTGTGCGGCCACAGCACATAAAAATGTTTTCCTTCTGGCAGCCACTTTTATAAGGATGTAATAATACACGCATTGCAGAAATGGTTCTATTTTTGGTGGGTCAGCGTTGCCAGCAAGCTGCCCCTGACCAGGTGTGGAGGGGGTCGACAGGGCATGTGGGCGGGGGGCTATGGAAACATGGCTGTGTGGGCCAAGGCCTCTGCTCCCCCCACTCACAGCCACCTTCCTCCCTCCCCCCACCCTGCTGGGCCTTTCAGCTGGGCTCAGATTCCCTCCTCTGTCCTTGGAGAGGGCTGTGCTGGGGACATCCCGGGCTTACTCTCCCTTCTCCACTCTCCTCGCCTCTACCTTTGAGGCTCTGGTCGATTCAGCCTCTGTATGCTGGAATGGGGCTCTTCACTCCCAAGCAGATGGGAACCAGGGACCGAACTGCTGTGGTGACTTCACGTACCCTGAAGGCCCAAAGCCCTTTGTGAGCAGTCTTGGCTCCATTGTGGGCTGTTGGTGCTCATTGAAAAGGGGACCCTCGGGCCAGCAGGTGGCATGGTGGTTAAAACCATCCTGAAGTCAGCAGGTGGTGTGGTGGTAAAGGCACTGAATCCCACATAGCTGCCACATGGTTAACTCCATGGTTCAAGTCCCAGACCCAGCAGCTTGAAAAACACACCAGATACATGTGCATGTGTGCCCCAAATCCCGAGAGGAAGATGGGGGAGAAAGTATATTGGCATGACCATCACCCCCACACACACCCCGGGAGGTAATATCTCCCTCTCCCTCTCTCCTTCTCTCTCTCCAGTGAGTGCACATGGTCTATGGCAAAAATCTGAGAGAGAAAAGGGGGCCTTCTCTAAGTGTAAAGCCTTTGTCCCTCCCCTGGAGTGCCAGAATCATGGATCTGAGGAGAGGCTAACTCTCTGGAAAGTCATAACCCGTTTTGGATCCGACCCCCGAGGCTCCTCCCTGCCCCCAGAGGAGCCCTCTGAGCAGCCCTGTCTGGACACGGTACGCATTCATGTGGCAGAGAACAGGCAAGTCCCCACGAGCTGGCGCCCAGCATTTCCTTCAGAGAGGGGCGGATGGGCACCCTTCCTCCGAGTGCCCCCAGCTCCTGTCGGACAGGCACACCGGCCGGTGTCCGGGGAACAGGCCGCTGCTCAGGGAAGGCGATGTCCCAGCAAGCTGCAGCCCTGCCTCAGAGGGTATTTGTTAGACCCAAGTGGAGGCCGGACACCGCCACTTGCACGTTCGCGGGCACTCGCTATTCCCGCTGTGCGGGGACCCTTGGGAGTCTTGGAAGATTCAGACCCTCCAGGATCACTCGCCAGAGCGTGGCCGGAATAGTGAGGGAGTCTGGCGTCTGGAAACAGAAGTGGGCATTTCTCCAGCTCTTCCCTTTGACCAGCATAACTTCTGAAGGGGCTCGTGAGGCCATAGGCTCCGAACTAAACCGGGTCCCCCTCTTGTCACACTTCCGATTGATGCTTTGTAAGCTGCTGCCTGTTAGACGGCTCTCACTCCCGATGTGCTCTCACCCTTGGCCCCACCTCTGTTTCCTGCAGTGACCGATAGGTTTCCTCTGCCAGACAGCAGGCCTTCGGAGCCCTCGAGGCTCTCCTGAGTCCCCACTCACCCTCGGCCTGAGCAGCTTCAGTCCTTTCACCTTTCTTGGACAAGGCATTTCACGCTCCAAGTGGATGAGATGAACTCTAACTTGTCCACGGCTCCCTTAGAAAACCCAGTGGCCTACACTGAATTTGGCCCTGCAGTGTGGCCAGGACAGAATAGAGGGGCCCGTCACCTCCTTACCGAGCCATCAAAAATGGCGGAGGGAAGCCGGATCCCACATGACCAACTGTGGTTCAGATCCCAGCCTGTATGGTTTGGAAAATGCGCCTAAAATCCCGAATGGATGGAGAAATGGAGGAGAAGGAATTGCAGTGTGACCAAGCCCCAGTGCGGGGAGGGGAGCGCGGTGTGCTCTCCCCCTCTTGCTCTCTGTCTCTCTCTGGCGGATGGCGACTTAAACTGTTTTCTGGGGTCGGTTTCAGACCGGCTTGATTTCCAGACTGGGTCTCCCTTTTCGAAAGCTGAGCCGTTGCCGCCCCCTAGTGTTCTGGCCCCTCCACAGAGCTCGTCGCTGTCCCACTGCCTGACCACAGGCAGACTCGCCTGTGCCAGGAGCCTGCTGCTTGTCGTTCGTTCGTGTTTTTACATTTTTTAAATTTATTTTTGAGAGAGAGATTTTTGCTGTAGGGGGGCCTGCAGGTGGTGTGGTGGTTAAGGCGTTGGACTCCCACATGGCCGACTGCAGTTTGAGTCCCAGACCTGGTGACTTGCTTTCTTGCTTGCTTTCTCACTTTCTCTCTCTCTCCCATTCCCACTCTCACTCTATCCCTCTCTGGTCAAATTTAAAAATAAATAAAGTTAAATAAAATGATTCTTTTATAATAATAAAAAAAAAAAACATTGCTATAGAGCCCATGCCCTCACCACAGAGACAAAGCAAGAAATTAGCCCCCGGGGGATGGCCACGCTGCAATCACTTCTCTGTTTTCTCAGAATTACGGACATGCATGCACATGTACCCAGCGTGTGTTTCAAGCTACCAGGTACGAGACTCAAACTGCAGTTGGCCGTGTGAGAGTCCAGCACCTTAGCCACTAAGCCACCTGGTGGCCCAAAGCCTGGCCATTTAAAGTTATTTGGTTCTCTCCTGTCATCTCCTCTCCCGTTCGTTTCCTCAGCTCCCTCTTAACCGCGTGTGTGTTACTCTTCCCAGCTTGAAGATACCGTCCTAATGAAGACAAGCAATGCAGTGGTTAAGCCCTTTGTATAGGGGCCCGCATCCCACATGGTCGAGTGCAGTTCAAATCCCAACCCCAGCACTTGGGAACCAGGCTCTGTGTGTGTGTGTGTGTGTGTGTGTGTGTGGCTTAAATCCTGACGGGATGGAGAAATGGAGGGGAGGGGCTTTTGGCATGACCACGGGGGGTAATTCGCTCTCTGGCTAGTACCTGCACCCTCTGACGGTCCCTTAAGAAAAGGCAAGTGTAAACAGGTGAGCGGCAGCAAGAGTTAAAGTGGAAACTCTGGTCCCCTCAGGCGTTGCACCACTGCTCTGGTTCTGAAGGCGTATCCCCACCTTTTCTTTCTCTTTAAATTTACAGTAGGGCATGTGTGCTCTCTGGAGAGACACGGAGAGAGAAGCGAGAAAGCACCCCCCCCCCAGCAGGGAAGGCCACCTCACAGCTCCTTCTCTCAGTCCTTTCTCCCGTTGGGATTTTGGATACACACGTGCACACATCTGACATGTCTTTCAAGCTGTCCAGTTTGGGACTTAAACTGCGTGAGCCATGTGGGCTCCAGCAGTTTTAACCTCCACGCCACTGACTGACCCATCTCCACCTTTTCTGTGCCTTTTTTTTCTTTTTTTTCTTTTTTTAGCACAGAGAAAAACGGGTGGGGATCCGTAATTCCTGAACAAGGGCTTCTGTCAGGACCCCAGTTCCATCTGCCCTCACTGCCTCCTTTCCCTTCAGGACTCCCAGTTCTCTGCAGTGGGCTGGGCTGGGCCCATCCCCGCAGACGGGGCGCAGTGCAGGCCCCGTAAGATGGGCCTCCCCAGGTTCTGCCCCTGCTGCCTGACTGGGCTTGGGGCGAGTCACTTCAGCCCGCAGCCTCAGCACTTCTGCTCCTGGGGTCATCAGTCCCTCGAAGCCAGGCCTCCCGGGCAGTGTTCCTTAGCTGCCACTTAGACGATCCTGAGAAGGGAAGAAGCTGCAGGGCCCATGGGAGGCTGGCCTGAATCCGGGATGGACATCCTGCCCTGTTGTCGGCCGTGGTAGGACACGCTGGCGAGTCATCTCGGCTGGCCCGGCGGACCTGTGCCTGGTGTGCCCTTCTTGCTATGACTCAGTGGGTGAGGGTGTCTGTTCCTCCAGGCAGCAGCAGAAAAACTCCCCTGGCAGTGGGGACTTGGGGCTTCAGCTGGCTGTGACCTGAAACCTAAGTCATTTTGTGCCTCGGTCCCCGCGGGTAAAGGGACTTCAGAACCCCTGCAGTGGAGGTGGCTGTTTGTGACTTGGAGGAATGCTTTGGTCTCTTGCAGATGGAGAAGGATGAAACTGTGAGCGACTGCTCCCCACACATAGCCAATATCGGGCGCCTGGTAGAGGTGAGTGGGCCGCTGTGCTCCGGGGCCGCCATGTCCCCTGCCCCCCAGCCTGTGACATTCCGCGTCCCCGAAGCCTGCTTGGTCTGCCGGCCACACTGCCGCACCTTTCTTGCAGCTGCAGGGCAGCCGACAGAGCTCTTGGTGTCTGCCCAGGCTCGTGTGTTCCGCAAAGGGGGCCCACGCCTCCCCCACCACCCAGAAACGCTCCCTGAGGCGGCTCAGCCTTCGCTCAGGGAAGCGCTAAGCCCTGTCTCCCCAGTTGACGGGGTGTGAACAGAGACCTGAGCTTGGGCAGGAACAGATCCCGGGAACATGGGCGGGCTCTGGAGCCGCTTCAGTAGCGGCTGCCCAGACTCCCTTGTCACCACCATGTTTTGGAAGAAGAGGGACTCTCCGGTTTCACAGAACTGCTCACCACATTGGTGGGAAGACTGAAGAGTGGTGATGCGGTTTAGACCAGCTCCCAATAATGGCCAGAGTTGGCCACCAATCCCTGGGTGTTGGCTTCCTCCTCGGGGAAAGGACTTACACACAGTCTAGGTGGGACCCCAGCCACCTGGAGCTCACCCACCCGCTGCCAGGGTCCTGCGCCTCCCCCCTGTGGCCACCACAGGGACTGCAGGGAGGGCGCCGGGACACCCACACACACACACACACACACACACACACACACACACACACACACACCCGCGTTTGCCGGGTGGCTGACTGGCCTTCCTTCCCAGGACATGGAGAATAAAATCAGAAGTACGCTGAATGAGATCTACTTTGGAAAAACGAAGGACATCGTCAACGGGCTGAGGTAATGTACCAAAAAGCACAGTGTTTGAAACCAGAAGATGAGGATTTGAATCCTGCTTCTGTAGTTCATGACTGTGTGGCCCTGGGCCTCAGTTTCCTCATTCATAAAATGGGGAGTCCCACCTTTGAGGGCTGTCGTGCAGATTTCAGAAGGTAAAGCGCCTTGTTCCCGGGTTGCATTCTCAGGAGCTGTGGGCTCCCACCTGTTTTCCGTCTCACTGCTATCGGGGCCCTCATCCTCAGGGTCTGCCTCCTCCACCGCCTAGCTTGTCAGTTCCAGCCACAGAATCCCAGGGCCTGCGGGCGCCACACACCCTGCGTCACAAGGAGGCCAGCCCAGGGCCTGGGCTCTGTGTGGGAGCCCCTCACCCTGCTGCTTTCCAGAAGGGCCCCGGCTGCTCCCACGGCCACCGCCAGGCTCCCTTGGCCGTCTAGCATCCCGAGCAGTCCCCCGCCCTCTGTTTGGCAGCGTCACCCTCAGCAAAAGCTGAAGGGCCCTCGAGGTCCCTGGCACACAGCAGGAGGCAGGCCTCTGAACCCAGAGTGGGGCAGCAGGGGCAGCTCTGGGTGAGCGCTGGCCTTGGAGTTGGGCTGCCGACACCTCCTCCAGGCTCTGTCACTGGGAGCTGTGTGACTTCACACTCCTCTTCTCGGCCCTGGGCCCGTCACAGGGCAGGGTGCTGAAGGGGCGTGGTGAGCTGCGGAGCCTGTAAAGAACTGAGAGCTGAGCACCGCTGTGTGGGCCTGGGGTTGTGTGTCCTTGGTCACCCACCCCCTCCGCCCCACTACCAGGCCCAGCTCACAGCCAGGCCGAAGGAGCAGCAGGAAGCGGCTCTCGGGCTGCCCTGGCCCATGGGTCTGTGCAGGAGACCCATTTGAGTCTTTTGCACAACCGCTTTACAACAGAGAAGGAGTCCCCTTCGGACTCTCGTCCCAATTCCCTGACCCTTTCCGGCAGCAGCAGGTTAAGAGGCCAGAGGGCCCAGTGTGGGCACAGCACTGTCACGCCAGACCTATTCCTCCCAGCCAGTTGGTCCCCAGGCAGTGCTGGGGGTCGGGGGAGACACCAGAGAGCCTGCAGGCTGGTAGCTGTGGGCCCCAGAAGGGCTGACCACTGCAGGCAGGGACCTGTGCAGTGGAGCCGGGGTGCTGCTTCCCCCGCCTCGGGGTCTCCCCGCCTCGGTCCTCAGCTGTCGCGTCCTCGTGCCGCGTCTCTCACGTCTGCACACTCTCTGTAGATCTGTCGATGCTATCCCTGACAACCAAAAGTTTCAGCAGTTGCAGAGGGAGCTCTCTCAAGTGCTGACCCAGCGCCAGATCTACATCCAGCCTGATAATTAAGCCGAGCCAGGTACCCTGCCTGAGAGGCGTGAGAACCCCCACTAAACAGGACTCACCAACCTGCCGAGACCCTGCCGGTCCGGCTGTCACTGCAGCCGTTTAAACCACCACTAACCCCTGTGTCCGCTCCCAGCCGGTGAGCAGCCATGCTAACGTGTGGCCTCAGCCCCACATAACACGGACACGTGTGTGGTGTGTGTGTGTGTGCACGCTGGGCAGAGGTAGGTGTGGGAAGCCGGGTGGTCTGGCTTGTGCTCTGAAGAAGCCCAGTGTGAGGGACTAACATGGCCTCGAGCAGAAGCCGCTTGTCCCCCTTACCCCGATTGGCACACATAGGGAGCAGGCAAGAGCCCGTGCCCTGCCTCCTGCCCACTCCCAGGCTTTCGGGCAGCTCCCTGGGGCTGCTGAGGTCACCCACCCTTGGTGGCACCAGAACCTTCTGTGACCCATGCCTAGAAGGGTTGACCTTGCTCTCCGACGGCAGGGTGCACACCGGGGCTGTGATCCACCCTGGCCGACCCGACTGCCTGAGCAGCTGCCGTGGGGCTGCCTGGGATGCCAGTGCCGACGCCTGGACTGGCAGAAGCTTTGCCCTAACGAACTGCAGCTGTCCCTCTACACGACTCACACTGACAGAAGGAAAATAGGCTTGCTTGTTGATAATGGCCAAAAACCACGACTCGAGCTTATGACAAATACTCATGTCTGAAAGCCGCCAGCATCCCTGGAGAGGAGGAGGGAACTATAAAAAATAAGGCATTGTGGGACCAGCAGTTGGTGCAATGGCTATGTCACTGGACCCCCATGTAGTCAACTGCGGTTCGAGTCCTGGATCCAGTGGCTTAAACTCACGCCGAGTGCGTGTACGAGCGTGTGTGCCCAAGATCCCGAGGGGAATGGAGGAGAAGAGATTGCAGTGTGGCCATCCCTCCTAGGGGGTGATTTCTCACTTTCTGTCTCTGTCTCTGTCTTTCTGGCAAGCGCACACGCCCTATAGCAAAAACCTCTCAAAAAAATAATAAATAAAGCATTAGGGAGCTGGCCCAGCCCAGAAGAGGCTTGGTGGGATTTCTGGGACTGAGTGTGGAGTGCGACCAGGTGGGCTGCTCTCCCAGGGCTGTGGAACTCACATGCAGGTCAGGTCTGTGTGTCAGCTTCAGGTCCAAGGTGCCCATCGGCTACCAGCCTCTTAATGGGGCCATCAGACGATCCCATCGTGGTATTTTAGATGCACCATGATGGTTCAGTTCCCTGGCTGCCTGCTAGAGGCATCTTGGCATAGAAACCGCAGCGGGCAGGGCACCTCCTTCCACACTGGGTCAGCACTGCGACCAGATACTGATGCAGAGCTGCCTAGCAGTGACCCTCCCGGGCGCATTCCCCTAACGAGTGCCCTGCTCCTCATGCTTCCGTCTGTGCTCAGTCTGACCTCTGTCTCAGTCCTTAGCCCCGCTCTGGAACGTTCTTACTGGGCGGGGTTGGCGGGACACAGTCAGACCAGGAGTGCTCAGTTCCCAGTTCCCCAGAGAGCCAGGACGTACCAGACCAGGGAGCCCTGTGCGCCCCCAGCATCCTGCCTCCCCGTGAGCTCAGCCGAATGCCCCTGTTGGACTGGCCGAGACTCAGAGCCCGGGGGCCTCCAGGACTGCAGTCCGGACCCTACCAGGGCAGATGATCAGAAACGCGCCTTAGCCCCAGCCAGGGTGGCAGCTTCCCACTGTGTGCAGACAGGGGGGTCCTCCTCGTGCCACCCTCCCACCACTCTGAGGGCTCTCCTGCTTGTTCTAGGACTCTGTAGCCAGAATTCAGCTGGGAATGCTGTTGGCTCTCCTGGCTCTGCTTCGTCTCACCTGCCCCATTTCCAGCATTTGGGGACTTGCTTCCTGGTCCTTCCTTCCCGTGTATTCTCAGGGAGTGTGGTCAGACTTGAAACCAGCTGAGCAGCCCACCTCACATTCTTCATGGGCACCTCCATCCTGTCCTCCCGCTGCCTCTGTGTTGCTACACAGTCTACGAAGTTTAGCAAGCACTTGGTAAACCAGTGTGTTGGGAAAGTGTGAAAAAATGTTCAGGAATTGCCGGGGGCGCTCTGAGACTCAGTCTCCTCATCTGTGATTGGGTTTAATAATAGTTCAGTTTTCCCCCAGAATGCTCTTGAGGACTAAATGAGACAGTGTGTTTGAAAAGCACCTTGTGAGAACCAGCAGTTAGCGTAATGGCTATGTCACTGGACTCCCATGTAGCTGACCGTGGTTCGCGTCCCGGACGCGGTGGCTTAAAACTCACGCCGAGCACGTGTGCGTGCATGCCCAAGATCCCGAGAGGAGAACGGAGAAGGGATTGCAGCATGACCATTTCTCGCTTTCTGTCTCTCTGTCTCTGTCTGGTGAGCGCACACACCCTATAGCAAAAACCTCTCCAAAAAAAAAAGAAAAAGCAAAGCACCTTGTAAGCTGTAAAATCTGTGCAGTTCTCGGTTGTTGCTAGTTTTTCTTTTCTGAGAAGTAAAACTGCACGTACGCAAATACAGTCGCCTTTACCATTGCTCCACACACCCAGGGTTAGGCAGCAGGACCCAGGGCCACTCACCTCCTATACGGTGTGATCCTCCTGGGTATTTTCCAGGCCAAGTCCGCAGCGGATGATGCCCGAAAGCACCTGCCCGTCATGTGCCTTCTTGGCCGTGAACCCATTGTGCTCAGACATGAGGAGACGCTGGGTCTTAGACACACGCTGGGTCTGGTACTGCCACACTGTGGGGCAGGGGGAGCTTTAAAGATGGGTCCTCATGGCCCAGCAGCCTAGCCTCCCAGCTCCAGGCCTGAGTGCCTGGGCAGAAACCCAGGGCAGCGGGTCCAAAGTCAAAGGCGTTGGCTGCACTGTGCTTGGAGGCCCAGGGGCCACCTTGTTTGGCCTGGCGGTGGAGCTGGGCTCAGAGGAGAGTGGCTGTGGCCAGATCCCTTTCAGCCTGGGGCAGAGATGAGCCTCTCTCCTGTCCCTGTGGGCTGCATGCGCCCCTGCTCCTGGGGTGTCTAGCTGGGAGCTGAGGGTGCAGGTCTCAGATTCGGCAATGCCTGGCTGGTGGCCTCGAGTCTCACCCCCAGAGGTGGACCCTGCCGCATCGCTCCCACCCCGCTCCCCGTTCAGGCTCCTAATGCCGCGTCTGCTCCTTGCAGGTCTGTGCAGACTTTTGCAGACAAATCAAAACAAGAAGCTCTTAAGAACGACCTGGTGGAGGCTTTGAAGAGAAAGCAGCAATGTTAAACCTCTGCTTCGTGCTAACCGGACACGCCATGCACTCGGTAGATCCTTTCTTAGAAAACTCGTCTTCTGCTCCCTCTCCCTCGTCCCCCCGAAGGTCACAGCCTGCATCATCTGCTGACCGCACAGCGCATCCCCCCGAGAATAAAGCCCGATAAACACCCTTCTCCGGCTCCGAGGCCTGCTTCCCACCACATTCTGCTGTCGAAACTCTCGACGTTTCCGTAGAGACCGTGTGTTTTGTTCTCCTGGACCCGTCTTCCTCCCCACCCCATTTATAGGCATAAAACACACTGTCTGTCGGCTCCCCTCCCCTCCCACCTTTTTGTTACATTGGTGTAAAAAATGTAAAACAAAAAAATTTTATGAAATAACTGTGGTGTGTGAAAGGTAGAAGAAAAACTGGAAATCGAATGACGTTTCCGTAGAGACCGTGTGTTTTGTTCTCCTGGACCCGTCTTCCTCCCCACCCCATTTATAGGCATAAAACACACTGTCTGTCGGCTCCCCTCCCCTCCCACCTTTTTGTTACATTGGTGTAAAAAATGTAAAACAAAAAAATTTTATGAAATAACTGTGGTGTGTGAAAGGTAGAAGAAAAACTGGAAATCGAATTCCATGTGTGTTTGGGAGTTGCTTGGGGTTGGGGGCCGGGGGGACGGGAGCTCTGGGGCGGAGGGCGGAGGGGAGGTGGCCCTCAGCATTGTCCTGCAGACTCGCCCACGGAGACCACACGTGGGGCCCGGGTGGGGCGCTGCTGACCGTTCTGCTCTCGGGCCAGGTGCTTTTCTGTCAATTTTTATGGAATGCAAAAGGAGTTTTTGTTTTATTATTTTTTTTTTTGTAAAGCTTAAAACAGAAAAAAAATCTACATCTTATACTTGAGCCTCCATACTTAAAAAAAAGAAAAAAAAGAAAAAAAAAAGGAAAAAAAGAAATAAAAAGGACGTGGGACGCAGTCAGCACAGCCTCGTGTGTTCTCTCTCGCCGTTCTAGCTGTCTGGGCGTGCGGCGTGGCCGGGCTGTGGGCCACGAGGGTGAGTCCGGCCGGAGCCGGGCGTGGGGCGTGGGGCGTGGGGCGTGGGGCAGGCCCAGCCGGGCTGCTGGCCCTGCACTCCTGCACAGAGCCAGCTGCACCTGACCTCAGGGAGGAGGGGCCGGGTTCCTCAGAGCCCTGCAGCCGCTTCCCTTGCACTGCCCGTCCCACCCCCAGCCTGAGTTGCTGAGGCCACTTGAAGTTACCCCAGACATGTGATGAGGTCAGAGGTCCCCATCCTCCCTGCTCTCTGCCCACGGTTTCGTCTTGTCTTCTCAGAAAACATGTAACAGTGGCGAGGGACCCAGCAAATGGCTGCTGTCCGGGGACAGCCACGTGCATTTCATGCCATCTGCCCCATAGCCCTGGGACAGTGGACCCCTTTTGCAGCTGTTTGGAAAGATCAGCCTGGAGAGCTGAGGCAGTCACCCAAGGTCTCCCAGAGGTGCAGAGTCCACGCTTTGTCCCCGCCCGACCACACCTCCCCGTCCCATCACCTGCTGCCCTCGTTTGGGGGCTACACCCTGCCTAGCCCATCTGGTTGGAGGGCCCCAGTTCCCCTGCACTCTGCTCGGTCTGATGAACATGTTTCTTATTTATTCACTTTTGTTTATTGAGCCAGGCAATGGTGGCGGTGATGCAACTGGACCTATGGGAAAAAGGTCCTGGGTTCATGTCCCAAAGCCTCCCGGGTCCTGGCCGGCATGCACACGCGTTCGCAACCCAGGCCAGTTGAGGCTAATGGTGGAGTGCAGCACAAGACCCTCAGCTCCCCTTCCCCCACCTTGGTGTTACATTGATGTAAAAATGTGAAATAATGCGGTGTGTAAATGATAGGAAAGAACTCTGGGTTGGGGGTTCCTCTGTGTGTGTGTCTCCCTCCCTCTCTTAGAAGAAATAAGCTCTGGGCCCAGTGGGTGGCGTGGTGGTTAAGGCACTGGGCACTCCCACTTGGCTAACCATGGTTTGAGTCCCAGACCTGGTGGCTTGCTTTCTCACTTTGCCTCTCTCTGTGTCTCTCTCTGGTCAAATTAAAAGAATGAATAAATAAAATTCTTTTTTTTACAAAAAGATGAAGAATAAGTTTTTTGTTTTTTGTTTTTTTTTTTAATTTTTTGCCCTAGGGCTTGTGTGCTTACTAGAGAGAGACAGAGGAGAGAAGGAAAGTAAGAAATCCCCAAAGACACATGGCCACATCACAATCCCTTCTCCATTCTCCTCTCAGGATTTTGGGCACACACATGCACCTACTGTGAATTTTCACTGGATTGGGAACTTGAGCTGTAGTGGCCATCTGGGAGTCCAGCACCTTAACCACCATGCCACTTGCTGATCCCAGATAAAAGGGTTTTTTTTTTTGGTAAGAATTTTTGAATTTAATTCTTTTGGTGAGGTTTTTGCTATAGGGCATGTGCACTCACCAGAAAGAGAGACAGTGAGAAATCACTCCCCAGGGGGGATGACCACGCCACAATCCCTTCTCCATTCTCCTCGGGATCTTGAGCACGCACACACATGTGCCCAGCGTGAGTTTAAGCCACCGGGTCCAGGCTTGAACCACAGTCAACTACATGGGAGTCCAGAGACATAGCCATTAGGCCAACTGCTGGTTCTTATTTAATTTTTTAAATCATTATTACCAGTTTTTAATTTAACCAGAGAGAAAGTGAGAAAGCAAACCTCCAGGTCTGGGACTCAAACTGTAGTTGGCCATGTGGGAGTCCAGCGCCCTTAATCACCTCCCAGTCCCAGTAAGCCTCTTTAAAAAACGTTTTTTTTTTTACTTTATTTCCTTCATGGGAGGATGGGTACACTCCACAGGGTGTTTATGCTGCAGTCTCCCACGGCCCTGCAGCCAGCCCAGATCAACCTAGCATGTTGAGGCAGACCCAGCACACGAACGTGAAGCCTTGCACGTGTCCAGCTTCCCACTGAGAACACTGTTACTGACTGCCACCGTGCTCGGCCGAGGCGCCACGCAGCTTTGCTGAGCGCAGCGTGCTGTGGGAGAGGGAAGTGAAGAACAGGAGGGACCGACATGGCGTCGTGGTGAAGGTGCTGGACGCTCCCACGTGGCTGGCTGTGGTGCAAGTCGTGGACCTGGTGGTTTGGTTTCTTATTTTCTGTCTCTGTCTGCAAACTTAAAAATAAATGAATGGGGCTGGACTCCCACATGGCTGACCATGGTTCGAGTCCTGGACCTGGTGGCTTGCTTTCTCACTTTCTCTCTCTCCCCCTCCCCCTCTCTGGTGAAATTTAAATAAATAAATAAAGTTAAATAAAATATTTTTTTTGGAGAGGTTTTTGCTATAGGGCACATGCGCTCACCAGACAGACACAGAGAGACAAAGTGAGAAATCACCCCCTAGAGAGTATGGCTATGCTACAATCCCTTCTCCTCCTCTCATGTTCTTGGTCACACACACACAAACGCCCGGCGTGAGTTTTAAGCCACCGGGTCCGGGACGTGAACTGCGGGCGACTACATGGGAGTCCAGCGACATAGCCATTACGCCAACTGCTGGTCCCTAAATAAAATAATTTTTAATATTTTTAAAAAAAAGAATAAATAAGATTAAATAAATAATTCTTTTAAAAAATAAAAAAAAAAAGGAGGGGCCAGGCCCTGGTACAGCAGTGATGCAGCAGGACCCTAGTGCATGGGTCTAGGCCCGCATCCCAGGCCTCCCTGCAGGCACTAGGTATGTATGTATGCCCATGAGCCCAACTGGCTGAGGAACATTTTTGTTTTTAAGAGTTATTTTAACTTTATTTTTCATTATTATCCGATTTGACCAGGGAAAGTGAAAAAGGAAGCCACCAGGTCTGAGCCATGAACCATTGTTGGCCATGTGGGAGTGCAGTGCCTTTAACCACCATCCCACCTGCCAGCCCCAGGAACCTTTTTTGTTTTTTTTTTTTTAAAAAAAATTTTCACTATAGGGCGCGTGCGCTCGCCAGACAGACAGAGAGAGACAGAGAGACAGAAAGCGAGAAATCACCCCCTAGGGGGAATGCCCAGGAACCTTTTAAACATTTAGAAGAAAAAGCAGAAGAGTTCCTGAGTTCCTTTGAACATTGAGTGGATGGCTCTTGTCATCATGAAAGAAATAAAAGGGAAACTGAGATACTTCATTTGCTTTATCTCACCTTTCGCTTTGTATATGTATCCCATAATATGTAGTCTATCCTTCATATGCACAGTAAAATTTATCTAAAAATGACCAGGGGCAAAGGTGGGGAGCCCTGACCCTCTACAGATGTGGGGTGTGGGCAAGGTAGACCCACCAAGGGACTAGCTCCTGGGGCAGCTGGGGGCGCTCCACCCTCACTGCTGCCTTCGCAGAGTAAGGCACTGAAAACAAGTTTGCTTTGCTCCTATTGTGTATATAATCATGTAAATAAAATAGGAATAACACCTGAAACCCAGAAATCATGCCACATGCCAAGCCTGATCATGCTCTGCCTTTTGGAGTCTTCCCTGGGAGCCATCACTGATGGTATCTTGTTTGTTTTTAAAGAATTGTTTATTTCATCTTGTCATTATTACAATTTTTAAATTTTGCCACAAGGCACATGTGCACACCAGAGAGAGAGAGGGGGAAAGTGAGCCACCAGGTCCAGGATTTGAACCATGTGGGGGTCCAGTGCCTTAATCACCACACCACCTGCTGGCCCACTGCTGGTGAGATTGGGGACTCAGGGCCCTGATCGTGGGGCAGCAGGAAGGGGCTGAAGAGGAGAGCTCGGCCTCTGCCACCTCCTGCCACTCCTTCCCTGCTCCCGCCCCGGCTGTCAGAGAGCCCTGTGGCTGGCAGGGAGGAGCCAAGGCAGCCTATGCAACTGGCACGCAAGAGCTCTAGGGGTTGACTAGCCTTCGGGCCGTGGGCTGTGGAGAGACAGGTTTGGCAGCTGCAAAGAATGTCCCCAGATGCCTCATGTGCTCCTGGGTGCCACTTAACAGGAGAGGCAGTCATGGTGAGGTGCAGGGACAGGAACTGGTCTGGAAGCCAGTGTCTCAGCTGTGCACCCACCTCCCGGCGTCCCTGGGATTGGTGATGGTCTGCACCTCTACACTGGTAATCCCAGGGGGTGCCTTGGCTCACCAAGGCCCTCTCCCCTGGCTGTGG